GCTCACCACGCTCACCAGTGCTCACCACGCTCACCAGTGCTCGGCGCCGCTGCTCTTGGCCTGCTCAGCCTCCTGTAGGTGCCGAGTGGCCGCGGCAGCCAGGGCGGCTGCGCTCTCGCCCTGGAAATCCGTGGCCACGGCCTGGGGAGACAGGAGACGGGCTCAGGCGTGTCTGTGCAAAGCAAACCGCTTTAGCTGCAAAGGCGGCTGCGCTGAATGGTCAGTGTTCACACACAGGCGTCCCCGAGGTGCCTGGACACACCCCGGGTGCGGGCCTGAGGGGACGGGTGGCGTCTCTGGCTGCAGGGCCCGCCCTGGGAAAGGCTCACCTGCTACAGGGACCTGGTGTGACCTTCCTCGGGTGCCCAGAAAGCTACAGGGTGAGCCGAATTCACCAGCCACGGGGACAGCCCTCCCACTCAGCAGGGGCCCGTGGCAGCTTCGCAGATCGTGGGCCTAGAGACCCCCGAGCCCTCGTCAGAGCCGGAGACGAGGGCAGCTACTGGGGATGGCCCACTGCACGGCCTCTGACCGCCGGGAGCCGCTGAGTGGATGGGTTGGACATGTCCTGCTCTGACCCAGCAGCAACGACCAGGGAATTCCTGACCCTCCAACTTCACCTGAGATCCTCCCTCACTACCCGGCCCCTGGGACAGAGCCGCCCACCCACTGCCTGCCGGGCGGGGCGTCTCTCCAGGAGGGGAGCTGAGGACGGTGAAGCTGCCAGCCGCGCCGGGCAGCCCTTACCAGCAGCAGGTCCTGCGCGGCGATCCTGACCGTGTAGGAGAAGGTGTCGTCATCCTCGTCCTCCACGAACTGCTGGGGGTTGGCCGTCCACACTTTGATCTGGAAGGACCGGAGGTCGCTGGGGGCTGCCACGCCAGCCACACGCTCCCTCTTTCCACCGTGCACTTGGGGGGACCTCGGCCCTTTGCTCCCTCTTTCCACCGCGCACTCGGGGGGACCTCGGCCCTTTGCTCTCTTGAGTAAAAGCCCAGCATCGAGGCGTTTCTCTTTGGTGTGAGAAGCCTCTGAGAGGTCAGCAGCGAAGGCAACGCCCTTGAGAGACACTTGCTTCAGGCCAGCAGGCCACCAGCTCTGCCTGTCAATCCGCTGTTACCCTTTAAAAAAATCCTCACCTGCCCTGGCTGGT